ATAGCTTTGGATAAGAGTTTATGATTACAGGTGTACATGTGGCATGAACTCAAGTGTATGTGGCACATTGTGCTTTCACTACTCAAGTCATTCCTTGTAGAGCCAACAGGAAATTAAAATTAATGAGAAGCCTGCACTTTGAAACAGTTGCAGAATTCTTGACTATTTCAGTCCTTTGCCAGCTCACGAAATCTGTGCTGGCAGTCATATCCAACAGATGGTGTGGCGTGTGCACAGTTGTGTCATGTGATTGTCTAGGTCCATGTAGAATTTTTATGAGGTTTTGACCATCAGTCTGCTGAGGCATTTAAGATAGTCATAACCTTTGTCTTGAAAGGAAGGTGACCTGCTTCGAAGATAAGTGTTTATGTGCAAGTAGAAAATAATAATTTAGTCACTGGGCAAGTAAACTAGATTTAGTTGATTCTGTGGTAAAGGCAACAAAGATTTTAGTGTCTCTGAACTGCTACACTGGTTTTTTAATTTTTTTTGTTTAGTAGAATTTAATCCCCTTGGCTACCTGAGGTAGAATGAGCGTTTCACTTTCTTATTCCTAAAGGTGATGTTTAAGGCTTCCGTAATTTCTGAAATTTTTATTTGGTGGTTGTGTCTAGGCAAAGTCTACTGAAACATTAAGCTAATTCTGCTTCTTTAGGTAATTAATACCTTAAGTTAAAACTCATTATATCATCATTTCCCTTACAAATTTAAGTGAGCAGGCCTGTACTTATTGGATTAATTAAGATAGAAAGCACAGGTGCAGTATGTGGTTTCTTGTCAGCATGTTGTAATTTATTAAGATGTTTAAAGCACATGGCAAAAGAAAAATGGCTTACAAAAAGGGTTCCAAGAAGCACAAACTCTCCTCATAGTAGTTTGCTCTTTTTAAAATGTCATTTATTTAGAAAATTACGTTGAAAAATTGACTACTCTACATTTTAAAACAAGATATTGTACTCCAAGCATATGTTGTAGCTAATGTTGATGTCTAAGGAAGTTATTTTGACTATGTGGGCTTTCTATTCATAACCCAATTTTGGATGTTTAGTTAGTAAGCATTGGGGACTATTGGGGTGATTACATCAAAAGAGATGTTAACCAATAGTGGAATTTAGGATCAAAGAGTGAACAGTGTAATTTATGATCTTTTAATTTAAGACTGATATCCCAACAGTGTTTACCTTTTGAAATAAATAAAGCATTAGATTTCAAAAAAGTTTTAAAAATTGATTGAGGTAACTAGTAATGCATATATCGGGTTGCGTTTTGATGATGGAATAGTTGTTTTGTACTTGAACTGTCATGAAATTTCTTTAAATCTAAAATTATTTTTGTAATTTTATACTTAATTCAGGTTTTCTGAGTATGCATAGTATTTCACTATCAGAAATATTTCCATAACTGACTTCCATCATACTTCTCATGTCTATCTTCCACAGTTAGAAGTATGCACATCATTGTTTGGGGGCCTATCATATTTGTCGGCCTACTTGAATTAATGCTGACACCTTTTCCTCCTTCTTGCCATTAGGTTGGTAGCCTTTTCCATAGTACCTCTCATTCATAAAATAGAAAGCCCTCATTAGGTTGGATTCTTCATGTTGGAAGACTTTTCAATAAATAATAGACTTTAAAAAAAAAAAAAATCCAGAATCTAGTTGTCTTGATTCAAAACCAAAGTAGCCTTGTTTTGTAATTGTGTTCGTCAGTTGTTGAAACACCTTCCCAGAACGATAGACAGATCTTAAGGAGATAAGTGAGTGATAGGGGCATTCAAACTAATGTTGTTTCTCATAGCAGATGAAAGTGTTTTGGAAAAAAGATACCTTACTGAATTTTTTTTTTTTTTTTTTTTTTTTTTTTTTTTGAGACGGAGTCTTGCCCGGGCTGGAGTGCAGTGGCCGGATCTCAGCTCACTGCAAGCTCCGCCTCCCGGGTTTGCGCCATTCTCCTGCCTCAGCCTCCGGAGTAGCTGGGACTACAGGCGCCCGCCACCTCGCCCGGCTAGTTTTTTGTATTTTTAGTAGAGACGGGGTTTCACCGTGTTAGCCAGGATGGTCTCGATCTCCTGACCTCGTGATCCGCCCGTCTCGGCCTCCCAAAGTGCTGGGATTACAGGCTTGAGCCACCGCGCCCGGCCTACTGATTTATTTTGAAAACACATTTTCATGGTTCTTAACAAACCTTTTTTTCTTCATGAATTCAATAATGGTGCATGTTGAAATTTGATATGCAATATACTATCATTAACTATTAAGGCGTTTTATAAAAGGCTCAGTAACCTGGGTTAAAGTATCAAGTTTCATTCCCACAGACCTTCAGTTTAGTTTTTAACTCTCTATCTTAATGTGAGAATGCAAATGAAACTACCTAATTGGCCAAGGCTACAAATACATAAATATATAGAAAGTTAATTATCGGCCATATTCTTGTACTAACTAGTGCAGTGGAACGAGTATTGAGTTCTGGATTATCTTTGCTAATGACAGATCTAAAATAGTCATTTTAATGCCTATATTCTTTGATGAAAAGAAATATACTGTCTAATTCATTAGAACTTCAGTGATGGTACAGAATTCCTGAAATTGCCTTGCTTTTGGTTTTGACCATTTGATCATTTTTGTTCTGACTATGAACATTAAAAGACTTTTCCCTTAGCATATCTATATAAGGCACAATAAAAATAAAGTGCAGATAATTTCCCCTTGCTTTGCAGAACAGTGAATTATAGCTCATGTCTGCAAATAAATTCTATTTTCCATCTTTTATTATAAAATTATAGGTATATTCTTCTAGAAAAAATATTTTTTAAATAACTGAGTGAAGAAGATTATTAAGTTATATGTAATCCTTGGGTGTCTAGTAGTCATCATTTAGTAGCAGCTCTTTCGATATGTGGAAATTCATCTTTTTTGTTGTCATTTTTAAAAGAATTTTCCAGAATTAGTCAACCTGTGGTGTCTTTCCATATTGTATATCAGTTGCTCTCACCTATAAGAATTTCCTCCTTGTCTGTAGTCATTTATACTTTTTTTTCCTCTTGACTCCATATTTAAACTATTAGGCTTCTATTAATTTGGGCAGCTTTGCCACATTTTGCTATGACTCATGATAGGAGGCTATTTTAAGTTGGAAACTTCAGCATCTGAATTTGTTTTTCTAAGTAGCCAGTCTTTATATTGAAAATGGTGTGTGAAGTTTTGTCTACATGTATAATTGTATGGTTCAGAGGGTGTCCTATCCTTTTGTTTTGGCTAATAAACTAATAAGTATTGGTAAAAACAACAGCTGACACATATTGAGATCTTAGTATATGGTGAGTACTTTTTAAAGCACTTCCCTGACAATGCGGGAGATCCTTTATAGAAGGTACTATTATTATCCTTTAAAAAAAAAAAAAACAAAGAAACTAATGCACAAAGAGATTAAGTTCAGTGATCAAAATCTCTTAGCTTGTAGGTGATAGAGCAAAAATTTGAACCCAGGAAATCTGACTTAAGAGTTTACTTTGTACTATTTAACAATGATACTATCACTAAGCCTTTAGTACAGAGGTTAGCCTCGGCCAGAAGTAAAGCCATCAGTCAAGGGAAAGAGGAGATGCATAAGTTACAGCACTGAACCCAAACTCTGAGTAGTAGCAAAACTGAAGACCATTCGAATAAAATAGGAATACAGACATGGGGCAGGCAGAGGTGCAGGGTGCAGACTGAGTTGGCTTAGCCAGCAACACAGAATCCTTTTTTGCACATTCCAGCTGGGTCAGAGAACAGGTCCTAAAGGCAGCAATGTCTGCTGAACAGACTAGTATTGGATATGATGCAGTAGTGACCTAGGTGGTAAAGGCTTTGATTGCCAAGCTGAGGCTTCTAGGTTTAGCCCTAATCCTGTGAGTAATTGATAGCTAATAAAAAATTTTTATGAGGGGAAAACTCTTACCAAACTTGTTTTTTGGTGTCAAAGTGAAGCATAGAGAGGAACTGGAGTCCTAGGATAACTGGATTAAAGACTGTTGAAATTGTTAAAAGTGGATTAAGGCAAAAATACTGGAATTAGAGAAGAGAGTCTACATTCAAGAAATCATCTAGATTAGATCATTTAGAATCATCTGGATCTGATCATCAGTTTTATATAGAGGATTAGAGTGAAGAAGGTTTCTGATTTAGATAATTAGACTGATGGTTTTGCTATCGTTTGAGATAAAGAATAGAAAAAGGGAAGAACAGATTTTAGAGATTGGGTGTGGTGTGGAGAACAAACTAGCAAGATATGTTGTGGGTATATAAAGTTTTTAGTGTTTGGAGAACATATAAATCTATTAGATAGTTGAAACTACAGAATGGAACCATGAATTTGGGAATATTTGGCGTGGAAAAGAGTACATGAGATCAACCAGAGAGACGCTTGAAGAGAGATGATTACCAAAAATGGATTTCTAGGGTATCCCAAATGTAAGGTGAGTGGGGCAGGAACAGTGAGCGGAGGCTGGCTCTATCTACCCATGGATATATTGAACCAAGCTTAGATGTAGGCAGATTACAGCTGTCACCTGAGAATTTACCATGAGTAGGATTTCACTGCTTTTTTTGGGGGGGGGGTGGTAGGGGGAGTGTGGTGCAGGTATCAGTCTATGCTTGAACTTAAAGAATAGTTTTAGCTATCAAGTTTTTTGTTAGCAGTTTTTTGAGCATTCATTCTACCACAGGGTGTAAATAACTTTTAAGCAGCTACAACTCATTGGCGATATATCTGAAATTGCTTTTTTTTTTTTTAAACATACTTTGAAGCATGCTGTTTCTAATCTCCCTTTTCTGTCTCTTATGTATGCCTTTGGACAAATGCTACAACTTTTTGGTCACTTTCGGTTAGTAAAAGTCTGGGTAGTTTAAAATTGTAACCTCAAATTTGATTTAAGTCTTACTTGATCCTTCCCCACCCTACATCTTAGAGTAGGCCACCTAAGTGGCCTAAGACATTTGGCATGCTTTCTCCCCTTCTAGGTCTCATTCTTGTAGAGAGAGGAGGAAGGACAAGAGAGGCAGAGGTCATCATCTGAACGAACGTGGTTATCTGAAGGTAGTGGGTCTCACTCGGGCATAATCTGGTTCTAACTGCTACAAAATGTCTCTGACAATGTGATGTTCATGTGGTTGGAATATGTGGTTTTCTTGGGATGATAGCTTTATCTTGGCTCCCTTTATCACTGAGCTCTTCCTCAGAAATGGGTAGCTATATCTCCTCTCTGTTCCGTAAGTTCAAACTCCTCCCCCTCTCTAGGTAGGGCATTAATGTGTTTGATCAGCAGCCCTTGCTTCTTCCCCAGCCTCTGGTTCTCTCACATGAGCCATGGGAGTCAGTGGTGTTCTTTCTAGGATCTCAGGGAATTAGTGGGTAGATAGGGGAAATGTGAGAGGTACTCTTTACTTCTCCCTCGCCCCCCAGGTATACTATTTCTGTGGCCCTATTAGGTCTGCTGCTGCAGGCTGCTCTACCAAGCCTCCCATCTTCAGAAATCTCTAGATAAGAAGTAGACAAGTTTCTAGGCCAATATATTTTTCCCTACTTCTAGGGACATATGCCAGGTCATCTATGAACACTTCACCAGGCTAAATTCTACTCCACTGACAGCACCAGAGCAGGTTTGAAGGTTCTTTATTCAGTATTCAGTCAAGCTGGAAAGTGAGATGTCAGTCTCTTCTTCTTGCAGGAAACCACAACGTGTCTTTGATGGAATATCTTGATACTGTGCAACGTGGCTTGAGTGAGGAAGCTGCTATGACAAAAACTGCCCCCCAGTGCTCCTGATGTACCCTTGCCCTCTTATGTAGGCTGGGTGATGATTTGGGAGTGGTGGGGCTCATTCAACCTCTGAGTAAACTCAAGGTCAGCGATTTGGCCCCATTTGGTTGGTGGCCGTCTTCAAGATAGGTGGTGCTTGTACATTATTTTTGTCTTTGTTGTGAGCCTTAGTCTCACAATTCAGGGGACAGTTAAAAACTTTCAGTCAGCATTCTTCTGTAAAAATAAACATTACTGACGTGACTGACATTTTAGAGCATTTCATGTTTCTTTCTCTACAGAAATATTTTAGTTTATTTGTTCCTTCATTCATCATTTATTCAGTAAACATTTTTTTGTGACAGCCTTGTTGCATGCCAAGCACTAGGCACTGCCAACTTAAGCAAATTGCTGCTCTGGAGGAGCATTTAGGTATAGACATATGAACACTTAATTATTTTACCCGTAGATAAATTGGCCAGACACCACTGATCTGGAAAATCAGGTTGTAGTGAAAATAACCAGACTTAGAAATAAAACCATGAAAGTGAAAATATGAAATTTTAATATAAGTTATTTTTTATTGAACAGCAATGTCTAACATTCAGAATTCATACTATCTAAGGTTACAGAATTTCCGGTTGCCCTGGGTACATAGGATCATGTAATCACATGGACCAGACTAAGAATTCTTATAGATCATTTACTTAAAGATTTAAAGTTTCTTCAAGGAAGAAATTTAAGACAATAATGTCTATTTTTACCAACTTTTGGTAAGAAATTTTTAGCTTCATACTAATATTTTATTAAGTGGATACTGCTCACATGTGGCACATATTGTTTATATGTTTAGTTCTTTGTGTCATCTAAAATTCTAAAATGAGACTTCTTCAAAAGTTATAACTATCTTGTGTCTCCAAAGTAGTATTTTATACTTTGTCTATTTGCCTTATACAAGTTGAGTCTAAGGCTTAACTGTGAAACAGAATTCATGCTAAGGAACTTAGAACAATTCAGACCAATCAATTACTAGAGTCTCTATTTATTGTTTTATTGTTCTGAAAGTAAAAAACAAATTATATCTAGATTACAAGCTAAAGGTTGTTTTAAAACATTATGCAAGTGGGATTTTTTTCACTTCAGTTTCTGTTTCGTAACTAAAACATTAAAACAGTACCACTGGCAACAATTTAATGCATAACCTCTAACTTAAATGAATATTTCTTTAAAGTTACCTTCATTTTGTAATTTAAGGAAAACCTGTTTTATATTAATATTTAAAACAAGCATTGAAAAATAAAACCAGTTTCTGAGAATAGGGGAAGTATTTTTAAAACACTTGAGCTTCTCTCTTCAGGTTCTATGTTCTGTGTTCAGATTGGTAATATATTTCCAGGAGAAAGTGGATGGTATTTATACACCCATATATTTCCATAAGTCATTTTTAGGCAACTGATTTTAATTCATGATAAATTATAAAATGAATTAGTAACAATATAAGAGAAGGCATTCAGGAAACATACCAGTTCATACTCAATTTCATATTGATGTACTTAATATATTTAGCTTCTTGTATTTAGGATAACATCAATTAGCTCTTCTTTAAGCGAAAATGTTCTAAAATACTTAGGTATGTCTATATATTTAAAACATAGTCTTTTTTTGAATTTTAGAATAAAAAGAAATTTCATTCAACATTTTTACATCCTTAATAGATGCAAATAGGTGTACAAAATATGTAGTAGCTACTCCTATGTTTAAGATTCAGTATCTTACATTGTTATATTTTAAAGTTATGGGATACGTAAATACTGAATTATTAGATATTCCATTTGAAGTGAATCAAATTCAAAAAATATGAATAAGCATTTGTCTCAATAGATTTTATTCATTTAATAAGAACCACTTTTGTTTTAATTAATTTTCCAGAACATGAGAAGATGTTAATAAGGTATACACATTGAGGTTAGAATATGTTATTATTCATATATTTTTGAGACCAATTTAGGATTACTTGGTTTAAATATAAATTAATATTTAATGTTCTAATTTTATATTTTTTTCTAGAGTAACACACTAACAAAATTCTTTTTTAGTTTTTAATGTTTCATTTGTGCAACAAAAGTATTTTAAGTGCCACCTATGTGCCTTTCACCTCCCTCTAGAAAGTAATGCAGTCAAGGGAGCCACTTGCAAAATATCTCTGTATTATCAATTGCTTCACCCACCTTATTCACAGGGTATCCTATTTTACCTATTTTATGTCACTGTTAGGCTTTAAGGTCTAACGTAGTCAAGCTGATTTTGCCATCCAATCAAATCAAATGTTTGCAAAATTGAAGCAAACAGCATTTTTCCTATTCCCAGCTGCTAGCTAATTATATTACACTTAAAACATACTTATTTATAAGAGAAATTTTTAAATTGATACATTTATCTTCAGTCTGACATTTTCTTGTTTGTTCAAATGAGAATTCTAGTTGTAAAGAAAACTGCATTTAAATATTTTATATAAATTATTAATACTGCAAAAGGATACTAGTTTATAATATCATTGAGAGCAGCTGTGAATAAGTCATAATTAGGATTTATTTACAGTTTAAAAAAAAAACTCTCTGATGTTACAGGGGCTGAAAATGAAGGCAAATATATGGGTGAGCGTAGGAAGCAGGGGGCTGTTTGGCCTGGTAAAAATTTTGTAACTATTTGCAAAATTGATCAAGAAATTAGAAGGAGAAAAAGAACACACATAACTGTCTTCAGACATAGATAAAAATAAGACTTGCATATTTGTGGCATGCCTCTGGATTAGGCATTAAATTAAATGTGATTGTTAAGTAATGCTTAATAGCAGCATAACAAAAGGGGCATCTATTGTCTTTAGTAATTCTTCTTTATAGAAATCCATTATGTATTAGAATGGTGTATGTCAACATCATTCTTTTATTTTGCCAGTTTCTGCTTTGATTTATATTTGTGTGGAACCTGGACACCAATATTGATAGGATTATTTAAAAGCTTAGAGCTTTTCTTTTTAAACCTTTCTTTTGAATTTATTCTAAGTTACCATTTAACAAAATACCTGATATTGAGTCCTACAAAATTCAAAATAGAGAACTTGTTTTTATTTAAAAAGAAGTGATTTGAATAAATGTCCGTGAGCATTAGATATTATATTGTAAATAAAATCTTAGTAAGTTTTAGAAAAGTATTAGATTAATTTTCACATACATCTTTGTTATTGAGGTAACGTATGAGTAGAAAAATAGAATTTTTAATAGAATATGGTAGATGAATCCTTTAATATTGGTAAAATAAGGTTTACTTACAATCTTGTTAAAAAACTATTGGTCATAGTACTTCTCTTTCTGTATATGTCTTACCCCTCAGTGTATACTTTAATTTGTGATTAGTTTAAAGTTTAAAAGTTTTAATCTGTGATGAACTCTAGGCTGAGGTTTATGGTATAGTTTATTTTATACACTGTTCTTAAAAAGCTATTCAATTACTAGGTAGAGTTCTTTCAAATAGAAATTTAAAAGTCAAAGTAATTCTCCTTAATAAAATAATTCCATTAGGATGATTTCATTAAATTTACCAATCTATTAATAATCTGCACAATAGTCATCTAAGTAAAACAAACTTGTATTTTTGTTTGTAGTTTATATAAAACAGCCTAAGTATTATAACGCTATGAATCTAGATTTTTAAATGAGCACACTGTACATTTTACCTAGACACATCTATTTATAATTATGAGCATAAATTATAAGTGTGATTTCTGAGATGCTTAAAGATACAATAAAATTCATATTGCTATACCAGTCTTAAGAGTGCTTAGGAAAACCTTAAAGAACCATCCAAGAAACTGCCATTTAATTCTGTCTAAATATATTTTGTCCAAGTTAAGAGAAGGAAATATATTTTGTTTCTATAATTATTTTGCCTTCTTCGAGCTCCCTTTCATCATATGCTGAATCTCTAGCAGGTTAGATCATTAAACTTTTCAGATGAAAAAAAAAAGATGGTTAGGGAAAGACTAGTTAGTTACCTGATTGGGCAAATGTGGATCGAGTTTTGAAAACCTTTTAATTTTTTTATATCAATTTCCCTGAGTTTTTGTTTACTCAGTTTATAAGGTATGTAAGAACACATCATTAGTTCTTAACCTTGACCGTTCCTAAATCTTTTGCATCATTAAATAGAACAAGGCTATACGGTTAAAATACTTATTTGAAAGCTTTTTAGAATCCCTATAATTTTGCTTACTTTAATTTCTGTCAAATTGTGATAGTAATTGTTAGTCCTAAATTGTTAAGAACTTTATTTTAAATTTGTTTTCCCATAATTTTCCCCAAAATTGTTTTATTTTTAAAGCAATCTAAAACATTACCAGCCACGGCCACATAACATTTTTAATAAAAACTTTATTGAGATACAATTCACACACCATGTAACTCACCCTTTTAAAGTGTGTAATTCAGTCGTTGTTTAGTACATATACAGTTTTGTAGCTGGCACCATAATCCATTTCAGGATATTTTCATCATTACCCCAAAAAGAAACCCTGTACCCACTAGTAGTCACTTCCCATTTCCTCCCAACACCCTTTTCTTTTTCTAGTCCTAGGCAGCCGCTAGTCTGCTTCTTGTCTTTGTGGATTTGCCTGTCTTGATATTTTATATAAGTAGAATCATACAATATGAGCCACAACTATTCCTTCTACCTTTCTAGTAGATAGGTGATTATTACAACAGGATGACTGTAATATTGCTGTAACATAGGAATTTGCCACCTATGATAATAGATAACATAAAGTGTTTTTTGAAGCAGTATAGATAAAAACTTGAAGTCTGAAATATTTGTAATGGATTCATCAGGACCTTAAATACTAGGGTAGTGCAGTCTGCTTCCTATATACTAGAAGTCAGTTATAAATAATATGTGCCTGGCACTGCTCTAGATATTCGTGATATAGCAACAAATAAACCAGACAAAAATCTCTGCCTTCACAAAGCATACACTGTAATGGAGAAAACAGTCAATAACCATAATAAATTAGTAAATTATACAGTTTGCTAAAAGATGATAAGTACTTTGGAGAGAAAAAAGAACCACATAAGGTATTGAGGCCAGTGTTGGGGGATAGGGCTTGCAATATTGAGTAGAGTGGTTGGAGAAGGCTTCATTGAGAAAGTGACAATTGAATAAAGACTTGAAGGAGGGAAAGGACCAAACAGGGAGTGAACCATCTGATGTCTGAAGGAAGAACATTCCAAGTAGAAGGACCAGCAAAGACTGAAGTGGAAGCCTCCTTTGATGTCTTGGGGGAACACTAAAATGATACATTGATTTTGGGGAGCTGAATGAGTGAGGGCCAGAGCATAAGAAGATGAAGTTGGAGAGCAGGATAGGGAAGTGGTAGGGTGCACCAGATGGTAGGCTCCTGAAAGTATTGTAAAGATTTGGGCATTTGTTCTAAAAGAAATATGTAGCCATAGAGAAATAACTTGATCTATAACTGACTGACTTTCAAAAGTTTCCTCTGGCCACATTTGAGAATTGATTGAGTGGGGCAAGGGTAGAAGCAGTCATCCGGGCAAAGAGCACCAGAGACAGTAAGAATTGGTCAGGTTCCTGATAACTTTTGAATATATAGGCAACAAAATTTTATAACTGATTGAATATGAGAATGAAAGATCCGGGATAATTCCAAGGTTTTTTTGTTTGAACAACCAGGATGAAGTTGCCTGTAACTGAACTGGGGAAGACTGTGGGTAGAACTTGTTGACTGGGAAGTTCTTCTGCATCCAGGTGGGCATAGCGAGTATACAATTGTATGTCCAAATTGGGAGTTCAAGGGAGAGTTCTAGGCTGGAATTTGTGGTAATCAGTATATAGATGGTATTTAAAACCATGAGACTGAAAGGGTTTTTCAAAGGACTCTCCAAAGAAATGAGTATATGCAGAGAAGGAAAGCGGTCTGTCTGTATGCATTTCCCATGGCTGCTGTAACAAAGAAATGAGTATATGTAGAGAAGGGAAGGGGTCTGTATTCATTTCCCATGGCTGCTGTAACAAATTACCACAAATTTAGTGACTTAAAAAATAGAAATGTATTGTTTTACAGTTCTGGAGCCAGGAATCCAAATTAAATCTTACGGGGCTAAACCTGGGTTTCAGCAGGGCCACACTTCCTCTGGGGAAATTTGAACTAAGTGTTATGAGGCTAAATCATGCTATCAGCAGGACTGCACTCCCTCCAAATACTCTAGTGGAGAATCTCTTTTAGTTTTCATTATCTGGAGCTGCATTCGTTGAGTCTTTGGTTCTTTCTCCATTTTCTTTCTTTTTATTTTTCTTGAGATGGAGTCTCACTCTGTCACCAAGGCTGGAGGGCAATGTGGCACGATCTCAGCTCACTGCAACCTCTGCCTCTTGGGTTCAAGCAATTCTCCTGCTTCAGCCTTCCAAGTAGCTGGGATTACGGGTGTCTGCTACCACACCTGGCTAATTTTATTATTAGTAGAGACAGGAATTCTGTTCCAAGATGGCTGAACAAGGAATAGCTCCAGTCTACAGCTC